CAGAGCGGTGCCGCTGGCCCACGTGGAGTTGGGGGGTCGCGGGGACCGGCTGCCCCTGGTGCTGCTCCACGGACTCTTCGGTAGCCACGGCAACTTACAGACGGTGGCCAAGGCGCTGGTGCGCCGCGGCAGCGGCAAGGTGAGGCCTTGGGGTTGGGGGTCCCGGGCGGGCAGTGCCCCGGGCCGGGATGACACGGAGCCCCTGCCCAGGCAGGTGCTGACGCCGGACGCCCGGAATCACGGCGACAGCCCCCACAGCCCGCTGATGAACTACGAAGCGATGAGCCTGGATGTGCAGCACCTCCTGACCCGCCTGGGCATCAGCAAGTGCATCGTCCTGGGACACAGCATGGGGGGCAAGACGGCCATGACGCTGGCCTTGCAGCGGGTTGGCAGGCGCAGGGCTCCCGGGGCTGCCGGGGGAGGCTCCTGGGGCGGGAGGCTGGAGGATTTGGGGTTGTTTAGTCTGGAGAAGAGGAGGCTGAGGGGAGACCTCCTGGCCCTCTGCAACTCCCTGACAGGAGGGTGCAGAGAGGGGGGATGAGTCTCTGGAGCCAAGGCCCCAGCGCCAGGCCCCGAGGGAATGGCCTCAAGCTGCCCAGGGCAGGGTCAGGCTGGCTCTGAGGAAGGATTTCTGTGCAGAAGGGGCTGTTGGGCGTTGGAATGGGCTGCCCAGGGCAGGGGGGGAGTCCCCATCACTGGAGGGGTTGAAGAGTCGGGCTGACCCAGCGCTGAGGGATCTGGGGGAGTTGGGAATGGTCAGTGTGAGGGGTCATGGTTGGGCTGGAGGAACTTCAAGGGCTTTTCCAACTTAGAGGATTCAGTAATTCTGATGTAGAGGGGTGGCACCGTTGGGGGTTGTTCACTGGTGCCAGCCTGGCACACAGCCCCATAGGGGGTGGCTTTTCTCCATCTCGGGGGTGCAGTCCCCCTCAGAGCTGTAAGCTGAGCTGCAGGAGCTGGTCTCTGTCCACCAGCCCACGCTCTGCCCTGTCCCTCCAGCGCTGATTGCAAGGGAGCTTCGAGATCTCCTGTGCCAGGGCACAGGAACTCAGGAAAGGGCACCTGGAGTTCTCTGCTGAGGCAGGAGGGAGCTAAAAGTCCCCAGGGAGTCTGGGTGGGAGCAGAGCCCCTGGCCAGGTCTTGCTGGGGAGATCTGGGCTGGTATCCATCTGCCCTGCTTGTGCCCCCAGCCAGACCTGGTGGAGCGCCTCATCTCCGTAGACATTAGTCCTGTCTCAACCGCATCTCTCTCCGAATTCTCTGCTTACATCTCTGCCATGAAGTTGGTGAAGATCCCAGATGGCCTGTCCCGCTCTGCAGCCCGCCAGCTGGCTGATGATCAGCTGCGTCCGGTGGTCCTGGTAGGAAATCCTGCTCCTTCAGTGGGGTTTCCACTCCCAGCCTGTCCCTGGGACTGGAGCACAGAGCTTTTGGACCATGAGACTTTTTCCACCCCTTCTCACTTGCTGCTGTCGTGGGCAGCTGGAGGATGTTTTACCGGGGCTGCAGGGGCGATGGGGAACGTGACGGCATGGGAAATAGGCAGAAGGGGGTGGAAGGGAGGATGGAGGGTGCTGGGACATCTTGAGGGTTTGTTGCTCTTACTGAAGAGAGTATGATCCCCTTTTGTGGCAGCTCCCACAGCTGAGACAGTTCTTCCTCACCAACCTGGTGGAGGTGGAGGGCCGCTACCTCTGGCGGATGAACCTGGAGGCTATTTCCCACCACCTGGCAGATATCATGGACTTCCCTGTCTTCCACAAGCCATATCCTGGCCCTGCACTCTTCTTGGGAGGATCCAAGTCGCCCTATATCAGGTGGGACTGGAGAGAAGCAGTTCAAAGTCTGTGGATTGACCCCTTGTGCTCTTCTGCAGCTGTCCAGGGTGGGAGGAAGTCCCCCAGATGGAAAAGGTCCTGCAGGGAGCTCTGTGCCTCCAGCAGCCCGTGACACCAGCACACTGCAGAGCGAGGGGGAACTTGGGGGCAGCGCTGGGTTTTCCCAGCAGTGGAGGGGACATGGTCAGACCTGGGATCCTCTGCTGCCTCGGGAGGGTGAGGAAGGGCACCTGGGTGGACCTCTGACCACACTTCCCATGGTGTGTTCACTTCTCCTGCAGCTCCAAAGACTACCCGGAGATCCACCGCCTCTTCCCCAAGGCAGATGTTCAGTACATCGAAGGTGCAGGCCACATAGTCCATCAGGATAAATTTGAAGAATTCATCACTGCTGTCCACAATTTCCTGCCACCACCATAGCCTGGGGATCAGGGTTTCTGCCAGCACCACGTGGGACCTGAGGAGCTCCAGACAGTGACATGGGGCTCTGTGAGAAGGGGCTCAGCCTGGACTGGCTGCCCACTTTGCAGTCTGATCCTGGCTGCAAGGCCTTCTCCCGCCCAGCTCACCTGGAGCAGAGCGGAGAGGCTCCTCCATCCTGCAGAGCTCTCCTGCCACCTCTCAGGATCGCAGGGTGGCACCAGCCGAGGGTACTGTCCTGCCTGCGCTGGAGTGTCTCGGGTGCTGGGAGGGGGCAGGAGAGCCCTCTCATTTTCCTGCTGCCAGGCCACCTGGTTGTGGGTCTGGCCCTGACTTTGCAGAACGCGCAATAAAGCTGAATCTATGCCAAGGCAGAAAATGGTTTGGCTGTGGCCGTGGAGGACAGGGAGGGTAGCAGAGGGCACAGGAAGGGGCAGTTGCTCACCACCCAGGGCTGCTTGTGGAAGGCAACAGCTGGGCTGGGTCTGTAAGGCACTGAGCTGCGGGAGCAGCGAGTGTAAGGCCAGTTTGAGGATCTTTCTTGGCTCCCCGGGGAAATTGTGTCCTTCCTCCACCACAGGGGCAGCGAGAGGATCAGGGAGTGGGGGAGGCTGCCCCCTGAGCCAGGAGATGCTACAGGCCTGCAAAGGGGGGGCATGGAAATCCCCTGAAGGCGGGCATCCCCTCCCTGAGCTCCTTCTGATTTCCCACCTCCCACCTACTCTGTCCCCTGAGAAGGCAATGTAACTGCAGCTGCTGCTGGCTGTATCAACCATCCACCCACCACAGGCTAGAGGCAGAGGAGCAGTGCCGTCTGCTGTGAAAATCCCTTTACTAGACAACAGGTAAAGCCAGAGACAGGGCAGAAGCGGCTCTGAGGGTGATGGATCATCTCTGTCTCAACTGGGGACAGGCTCTGTCTGGGACAGTTAAGAGAGACACCAACCAGCTTCGCATTTGGTTCTCCAAAGCCAAGTGTCTGCTGTTCCCTGGGAAGTTTGCTCAGTTTGGGGCTGTCTGGAGGCCACAAAAGGAAGGGAGAACAGGAGACCAAGGACTATTTTATTCCAGGTCTGTTTGTAGTTGCCTAGCCCAGGGGGCACAAGTTTGGAGGTTCACTGTTTCTGCAGAGCTGTTCGTGGCTTTTCCTCTTGTCCTTTCCTTTTCTGAAGTGCATCAGTGTGGAGCAGGACTGAGTTTACCTTTGAGCTTGAGCTTTCTGCTGTGTTACTCCCAAATTCAAACATTTCACCTGTGAAGAACATTAGACCGAGAAGCTCCTGAGACACGGGCTACTGGAACGAGTTCCCTGAGCACCTGTCTCTCCTACAGCCAAGTGGGGATGGGAATGGAGTCAGGGCACTGCCTGGCCCTGGCTACCAGCACACAAGTCCTTTGGATATCCTGCCTGAGCCATGAGGTCTGGAGCCTGGGAGTGATGAATTTCTCCCCACTGGCCAGGTACCAGGTTTGGGGCACAGCCAAAAGGCTGCTGCAGAGTTGCAAGGTGAAGAGACTTACCCCAGGCAGGAGATCAATGGCCTGGGAAGAGGTAGAACTTCCTGAGCATGGTAGTCCTTTCTTGTGCTGGTAACTGCTGAGGGAAATTTCCAAAGGAATATTGGACCTGGGGTGAGGGAGAGAGTGGGGAGAAATGAGAGCAGGTCTGTTCCCAGTGTGGGAGGGGTGCAGGGAGTTGGGAGGCATCCCCAGCATGGCAGGGTGCTGGTGCCTCCAGAGATGCAGCTGACTTCCCAGGCCAAAACAGACCCCTTTTTGACAGCTCCTGAGGGGTCTGCTGAGAAATGGCCTGCCCTGGCCCGAGCTCTGCTCTGAGCAGTATCTCTGACCACTGGCATTGCTGCATCTGCCAGCACACCTGCAGTTAGCTACAAAGCCTCACCTTTCGGAAGATCTCCTGTAAGTTGCTGTTATAGGCGTGGTTTTGAAACTGCTCTATCAGGCGCTGGATGAAGATACAACCTGTCACTGGGCTTCTCCAGGAGACAGTATCTGGGGAGACAGAAGATGCCACTGAGGGTGATTTCATTGGTGTCCCTCACTGCAACAGTGATTAACGCTGGGTGCTGAAGCAGGAGACAGGCATCTCCTCTGAGATCATTTGGCCCACCCAACCCACAGCACGGGAAAAGGAGAGGGCATCCCAGGGAAGGCAGAAGTGACATAAATATTTTATTTAAGTCTCTGTGGTCTCCCATGCTCTCAGCCATGCCAGATGCCAAGCTGGCACGACCTGGAGCCATCTGTGACCAAGCAGAAGACAATTTCCCCGGGCCAGCCACTATGGTGAGATAAGTCGGCTGGGGAAGGAATGCT